AATTTAACATGTTTAGAATATATATTTTTAGCTATTTCCTTTAAAAAAATTGAAAAAAGTTCAAAAATAAAGATTATGACAATTGTCACCTATCTATGATACATCCTCACTGAATTTTTAATTTAACATGTTTAGAATATATATTTTTAGCTATTTCCTTTAAAAAATTAAAAAAGGTTCAAAAATAACGAATATGACAAATATCACCTATCTATGATACATCCTCACTGAATTTTTAATTTAACATGTTTAGAATATATATTTTTAGCTATTTCCTTTAAAAAAATTGAAAAAAGTTCAAAAATAAAGATTATGACAATTGTCACCTATCTATGATACATCCTCACTGAATTTTAAATTTAACATGTTTAGAATATATATTTTTAGCTATTTCCTTTAAAAAAATTTAAAAAAGTTCAAAAATAACAATTATGACAATTGTCACCTATCTATGATTCATCCTCACTGAATTTTAAATTTAACATGTTTAGAATATATATTTTTAGCTATTTCCTTTAAAAAAATTGAAAAAATTTCAAAAATAACGATTATGACAATTGTCACCTATCTATGATACATCCTCACTGAATTTTTAATTTAACATGTTTAGAATATATATTTTTAGCTATTTCCTTTAAAAAAATTGAAAAAAGTTCAAAAATAAAGATTATGACAATTGTCACCTATCTATGATACATCCTCACTGAATTTTAAATTTAACATGTTTAGAATATATATTTTTAGCTATTTCCTTTAAAAAAATTTGAAAAAGTTCAAAAATAGCGATTATGACAATTGTCACCAATATATGATATATCCTCACTGAATTTTAAATTTAACATGTTTAGAATATATATTTTTAGCTATTTCCTTTAAAAAAATTGAAAAAAGTTCAAAAATAACGATTATGACAATTGTCACTTATCTGTGATACATCCTCACTGAATTTTTAATTTAACATGTTTAGAATATATATTTTTAGCAATTTGCTATAAAAAAACTCAAAAAAGTTCAAAAATGTCGATTATGACAATTGTCACTTATCTATGATACATCTTCACTGAAATTTTGATTTAACATGTCTACAATATATATTTTTATCTAATTCATTTAAAAAAGTTCAAAAATAACCATCATAACAAATGGCTCTTTTCTATGGTACATCTTTACTTAAAAATTTTAAAAAATAACTATGATGGAATAGTTAAATCAGAGCGTTATAATTTAAAGAAGCTTTAAGAAACTTTCCCGCCTATAATATTAATATCTACTAAATGTTATTTGACTTTTGGTCGAAAAAAATGATCTAGATATTTGGTTAGGTGAAAAAAAGCAACCCTAACTTTAAGGCGTCTTTAAAAAAAACGATCCATATTTTGGGTCGGATTGAATAAAACGACCCGATGTTTGAGTCTGAGTCAGAAAAACGACCCAAACTTTGAGTTGGAGTCGAAAAATACGATCTAAACTTCAAGTTGGAGTCGAAAAATACGACCCTAACTTCAAGTTTGAGTCGAAAAATACGACCCAAACTTCAAGTTTGAGTCGAAAAATACGACCCAAATTTCAAGTTTGAGTCGAAAAATACAACCCAAATTTTGAGTCGGAGTCGTAAAAAACGACCCATATTTTGGGTCGAGGTCGTTTTTTTCGGCTTGGGCTTGGGTCGAAGTCGAAAAAAACGACCCATATTTTGGGTCGAAGTCGTTTTTTTCGGCTTGAACTCGGGTCGAAGTCGAAAAAAACGACCCAAACATTGAATCGGAGTCGAATAAAACGACCCGAGCTTTGGGTCGGGGTCGCGACTCGCGGCGTTTTAACAACACTACATATAATAGATGGGGATTTAACTCACCTTGAAATCTGAGCAAATACGTCGCCATTGTTTTACCTGACATTTACCGTTGGGATTGCCCATGGAACTCTAATTGTAGAAGAATTGATTGACTCCAAAATCTCTGCAGCAACAAGGCGATCCAGTTCCAGTTCAACCGCTCTCGTAAAGGAAAAGGCACTCGACGAGCTGGAAACGATTTTGGAACAGCCGTATCTTTTAACTGGAATAATACGGCGAAATTATGTATCAACCCCGGTTTGCCATCCAAAACTGTTTTGAACTGTTTAGCTAACAAAGGCCTATTGAGTCTTCCGTTAGTGACTTTTCTCGGCCCGCGGGGCACCGATTGTATTCGAGCAGCCCATTGGGGCATCGTTGGGCAGCGACTTGATATTATTGGTCCTCTATTCGTTTTGATAACCTGTTGTATGCTTACCTGTCTCGTAACTCAAACCCAAATGCTAAAATCCATGACAACCCAAACAGAAGTTTGACTTTATTATAATTACTGTTAATTTACGAATTTACTTCCCAACTTGCATATGGACCATGGCCTCACCCATTAAATACAAAGGCATATCTCCATAGGCTGATAATGGGTTTGTGGGAAATGTTGGTGGTTTGCCAATTTTCTCCCAAATATTCAATCCTATAATAGAGGCTTGTGCTCCCGTATCATAGTCAAACATGAAACTAAGTCCATTTATTTTGGCTGTAACCTTTGCCCTTTTATTTAATCCACCTGTCCAAAGATTATTTATTGAATTACTTGAGTGAAAGTATTGTTTCACTGAGTTTAATTTGCGATATATAGATTTACCACGGCAGCATGCTGCAAAGTGTCCGGTTCTTTGGCACTTAAAACATGTTATGTCTTTAGCTGGGCATAAATATTTTTCAGCCAGCCGGCACAATTCTTACATTTATCATCTTAAAACTTGCTAATAGCCTATAATTATTATCTATTTTAACACACTCTTGTGAATTAGGCATTTTATGTTTGTAATTTTGCGGCTTGACACTATTCACAAGGTTTTTCTTAATAGCCAATTCATTCTGAGCTCTTGTTGCCGTGGCCATATCTAATACAAACTGGAACGTCAGGGGTTTTTTGTTCATATCCAATGCTAACGAATATTTAGCCCTAAGTTCAACTGGTAGATCTATACCCGCCACCAATTGATCTCTTAAATGGCTGTCACCTTCTGTCAGCGTAAAACAATACGCCTTCGCAGTTATTTTGATCCTATTGGCAAACTCTCCAATTGATTAATTATCATTCCTAATTAACCTTAAAAAGTCTAATAGACTACCAAAGATGGTTTTATTCTGCTTAACAATATGTAATAAACACTTCTTATCTTAACAAATTACGTCGTTAGAATGGTTTCAGGAAATAAATATTTTTCGAGAATGTCAATGCCCTCAGCGCTAAAACTCACCATGAACAGGTCCTTATTCTCTTGCTCGGTCGGTGTCCAGTTTTTAATCTCATTGTTGCGTCCCTTAATTGAAACCAACTTTCAATCAGCCTATTAACCTGGAATTTTTCGTTATCGATATTTATGATAGTATTGATTTTGACTTGAGGCATAATTTTTAACAATTAATAAATTATTTTCTTACTTGATATAATTAGAATATTAGAATCCTCGTTGCCACTTTAGTAATTTAGTCGTCAGTTACAATTTATTCACTTTTAATAATTCAGTCACAATTTACATTTTATTATAGCAATAGGATATGTGATGTCAATAATATATAAGGAAATTAACCAACACCTTATTATATTAATCGTAAATATATATAATCATACCTAAATGACGAATATAACACATAATATGTAAATAGAATATTACAATGAATTACTCCTTTACAGCATTTATATTAATAAGGCTCCATCAAACTTAAACAAAGATTTAGTGACTACAGAAAAATTTAAATATGATAAATACGTGGACATCTCTTATCAATACTGTTATATATTCAAATTTGTACTGTTATTTCATTTTTGCTTTTTGACTTACATTCAACCTTTTACGATTTAACCTTTTACAATTCAACTTTTTACAATTCAATTTTATATAATTTAATTTTTATAACTTTACCTATTATTACTTTTGTTTTTCGTTTTGATTATATGTATTCTAATTTATATTTTTAGATAATATATATATAGTATGAACATTTTTAATATAACAATGATAAATAAAATATATTTTTTTGTTTTCGTTTTTCTCTACACGTAAAATCTCTACATGGTGCCCCGGGTGTGGTTGGCAAAAAAGACTCGCCACCATGCAATATTTTTTAATTTTTTAATTTTTTAAAAAAATGTAAAAATATGAATAATAAAAAATAAAAAGAAACAAATAAAATCTATGTAAGAAGGGAAAAAAAAGGTAAAAATCATTTTAAAGTTATTCTTATTATTTTCATTTAAACTTATTAATATTCTTTGGAAAATATCTATTTATTATATACTTTTTGAGTTGACCTACAATTGTGACGTACATTATTCAAGAGTGCCAGGCAGTGACGATATCGTTTTTGAATTTGTTAGTCTTAAGGAAATGGTTAACTATTTTGAACAACTCAATGGAAAGTTTTATGTTTATGACGACTCGGAGTTTATTCAACTCCGGTGTATTTTTGTAAAAATATAAAGTGTTATTATGATTTCCAAAATTATTGTAATCATTAATAAAATATGGACACTAAACCAGAATTAATATACAAAATTCCAAAATTGGTTGGACCACTCACTGAGATTTACTTAGACAGAATATTAAGTTATTTTTCGACCAGCACATTACCGGACTTTATTAAAATAAATACTTTACTTAATAATTTATCTGATGATGTGTTTGATAATATTAAATTAATTTGCTCCGATACCGACATATTAGATCTTAAGATAGTGACTAAAAAGTTAACTTACCTTTTACCTGTACAAGATAAAAACATTTTAATAAACAAATTTAACTTATTACAGCAGAACTCGAGTGAAAATTTCATGCAATAGTACATAAGAGTATCAAAACTGCATAAAAAATGTAATTTATCGGACGACAGTAGATTAAAAGAAAAATTACGTATGTCTACCTTAAATGACAAAATAAAATATAAATTTTGTAAAAATATTAATTTAACCTTAAATGAAATGGTAGAGCTAGGAATTAGATTAGATAGTATTAATGATAAATCAGATATTGATAATATAAGTTATATGAATAACGATAAAAAGTCTGATAAAGATAAAAACTTTAATAATAGAAATAGAAATGACTATAATAATTATTTTAGACCTGATAATAATTTCAGAAATAATTTAGAAATTAATAGAGATAGAGATAGGAATTACAACAATAATTTTAGATACTATGATAGGAATTACGGTAATAATAATTCGAGATACCAAGATAATTTTAACAACTATAACTACAACAACTATCGCTACAACAATAATAATCAATCTAATTATGGTATAAATAATACATGGCATGATAATAATCAAAGAAAACAGATCCAATACGGTGACGGAAATCGTAACATTTACCAATCTTATAACAACAATTCAAATAATTATAGAGGTAGCGACAATAATCAGAGAAAGCAAATACAATATAACAACAACTCAAATAATTATAGAGGTAGTGACAACAATAATAGAAAGCAAATACAATACAACAACAACGATTTCAATATGAATATTGAATAAATTATTGAAGAGAAAGTCGACTCTACAAAGAACAAAGATGATAACATTTCAATGTTAACAACTTATCTGGGGACATGCTTAATGACAAAGATAATGCATTTATGACTACTTTAAAAGTGAACGATATTGTTACGTGTATGCAAGTCGACACAGGCTCCAAATATACTATCATACTTCATGGTCTGGCTAAAAAACTTGGTATTAGAGATGTTAAGAAATCTGAGTTACAACTTACCGCTTATGACGGAAATTTAATCAAGATCATCGGCGTTACTCAAGTTAAAGTGACTTATGAAGGTATTTCAAAATATTTACAAGCGGTAGTCGTTGAATCGAGAAAAAATGCCTTGTTGGGACGTACATGGATCAACGCTTTCAAAAATATTTAAAATAAATTTATAGCATATGTTGACACTAATTATGAAGATGAAATAAAAAAATTGATTAAAGAGTGTGAATCCAAATTAACTAATGGGCCAATCAACAAAGCAAGTGCCAATTTACATTTAAAAAGAGATGCCCAACCTAAAATTATACCGCCTAGACGTATTCCTTATTCAAAAATTGATCTTGTAAGCAATGAACTTAAAAAATGGATACATGATAAAATTATGGAGCCGGTGAATGATGTCCGATACCGCTGTCTACAAAGATGATGGGAGCATTAGGCTTTGTGCTGATTTTAAGGACACTGTAAACCCAGTTCTAGAAGATTTCAGATACCCTCTACCACGAATAAATGATCTAATAGCTAAACTTTCAGTAGGAAAGAAATTTACTAAGATTGACTTTAAAAATGCTTTCTTACAGGTCCCGATTGATAAAGGTTGCAGAAAAATTTTAACTATATCTACGCACAAGGGATATTACCAATTTACTAGACTTCCTTTTGGGCTTAAGACCTCATCTGCAATCTTCCAACAGATCATGGATCAAATCTTCGGTGACATGGATGACGTCATATTTTATATTGATGATTTACTAATAACTGGGAAAAACGATGAAGCCCACCTTAATAACATAAAAAAAGTGTTTGATAGAATATCATTGTTTGGGCTAATACCTAACTTCAACAAAAGTGTGTTCTTCAAAAACAAAGTGAGGTTCCTGGGTCATGATATTGACTCCAAGGGGATTCATGCTAATCACGACAAAATTGAAGCAATAATTAATATGCCAGAACCAAAATCCGCTGCTGAATTATCAACATTTCTGGGAATGGCTGGCTACTATAGAAAATTTTTGAATAAATTTGCAGAAATAGCCGATTTTCTATATAAAATCGTCAACAAAGAAAAATGGGCTTGGAACTTAGAACACTCTAAAAGTTTTAATGATCTTAAGAAGTTGATTAGTCTTCCACCTGCTTTGACATATTTTAACCCTGAATTACCTATATGGATAGCCACTGACGCATCTAAATGTGGTTTAGGAGCTGTATTATTTCATACTGAAAAAGACGGTAAAAAAAAGCCTATAGCTTTCGCGTCAAGAACATATTAAAATCCGAAATGAACTACACCAATATTGAGCGTGAGGCTCTCGCTATTATGTTTGCTATAAAGAGGTTCCAGGAATATTTAATCGGCACAAAATTTACAATTACTGACCACAAGCCTCTAGTTCACATCTTTATCAAGGGTCTTAAGGATAATAGCACCATGTCCTTAAGACTCCAGAAGTGGAATTTAACATTAGGAGGATATGATTTTAATATAAAGTATAAAGCCGGTAAATATAATGTTGTTCCTGATTGTTTCTCGAGATTACCACAAGAATGTCATGATGAAGCTGTTAAAAATATCACTGTAATAAATGAATATGGGGATTTACTTATTAAATCAAATTCGTGATGAACCTTTAATAGATATTGAATTAACGCAAGTTATAAATGATATTAATAACAACAGACCTATAATGAATAATATTTATAAAAACATTGATTTGGAATTAAGTATAATTAAGGATTGTCTTTACAAAACCAACAGAATCATAATTCCGTCTTCTATGAGAAAAAATGTAATACAGTCATTACATGAAGGTCACTTGGAAGCAGGAAAAACCAAATCCTTAGCCAAAGATTACATGTGGTGGTCTGGTATCAATAATGACATAGAAATGGAAGTGAAAAGTTGTGACGATTGTAACGTATATCATGACAATCCTGCAACCAAACCGTTTGAAAGGTTACACATAGATTATCCGGGCCGTTCTTCACAAGAAATTGGTTGATAATAGTCGATGCCTACAGCAAATTTCCAATTATTATTCCTGTTAAAAATATTACGACTGATATTACTTAAAAGGCGCTATATGGAATACCTGAAACTATAGTTACTGATAACGGCACTAACTTTACGAGTAACGATTTTGAAAAATTTTGCAACAATTATGGTATCAAAGATGTGCTTACATCTGCCTATCACCAGCAATCCAATGGCCAGGTAAAACGCATGGTAAGAACGTTCAAAACACATATGAAAAGGAATATTAAAATTGACTTAGACATCGCACTTGACAAATTTTTATTTAATTACAGAAATACGCGTAATGATACTACAGGAGTTACACCATCTCAGAGAATGTTCAATCGAGATATTAGAATTAAATTGGACTTATTAAAACTGTTGGAGGAGAAGGAGAACAAAATAAACGTTACTTAACCACGAAATAGAACCTTTAACACAGGAGATTTTGTTTGGTACAAAGTACAAGGTGATGACAAATGGTGCAAAGGCATGGTCATACACAAAGAAAGTGACATGATGTTCCAAGTTAAGACAGATAAAAATATTTTGGGGAGACATTTAGATCAATTAAGAATTAGAAACTGTTTTAACACACTTATTAATTATGACTCTTAGGATTCTTTTAAGGAGGGAAGTGTGGACAAAAATATAAAAATTATTGATAAAAATGATATAACACCGATTTCTAGACCGATGCGAATTAAACAAAAACCTGCTTATTTAAAAGACTACATAACTTAAAATATAAAAATAAAATAAATATTAAAACGCATAAAGTAAATTAAATATTAAAACGCTTATACTAAAACGCAAAATATAAAAACGCTGAAGATATTATATCCTTCAGGACCTTACCAAATCAATAACCACCAACATTGAACTTATACACAACATAACAACTCTACTTAATCATATTTTAAACGACAACATATCTTCTACAATACAACCTCTTATTCACGGTGCACGCTTAAAGCCTTAAACAAAAAAGATGGCGGCATACGCCCAATCGCCGTCGGCTCTATTTTCCGTCGAATTATATCTAAAATTATTTGTACCCGCATTAAAAGCAATGTCACCGAGCGATTAGTTCCCCATCAGCTTGGCTTTAACATACCTTCCGGTTGTGAAGCAGCCTCCCATGCCACACGTATCCAACTTCACTCCACTAAAAACTGCATACTAAAAGTGGATTTCAAAAACGCCTTTAACTCTTTAAAACGAGAACACTTTCTCCCTATTTTCTGCGACGCTTTTCCAGAATATTCTCCATATCTTTTTGCCTCTTATACCAATTCATCCTACCTTAAATTCAACAATACAATAATTGAATCAAGGCAAGGCATTCAACAGGGTGATCCCCTTGGACCCGCCCTTTTTTGCTTAGGTATCCAGTCAATCATTGAATCGATAAATCGTGAGACAAATTTGACCCTCAATGTTTGGTATTTGGATGATGGAACCCTTGCTGGTCCATATGATGAACTCCTAAAAATAGCGCCTATAATAAATAATCTAACCATATTACAGGGTTGTCTACAACAAATGCGAATTTTATTCACCAGATGAAACCTTTATCGTTCCTCATAACTTCACACCCATTAACCTATCCGGTTCACACATCTTGGATCTCCAATAGGCAGCAATAAAGGAATCGAATATTTTAAAACAAAATTTCTCCGTAATTTCCACCTTTTACATAAAATCCTTCAAGTCCTTCCCTCCCATCAAGCTTTCTTCCTTCTCAAAAACTTTATCTTTATCCCAAAAATCCAACACGCCTTCCGCTCTGCCCCACTTTTCTTATACCCGTAAATTCTCACCCAAATAGAATCAACAATCAAAGACTCTTGAAGGCATCCTTAATATAAAATTCAGCCCTAATTCTTGGGTTCAGGCCTCCTTACCCTCGAAATTTGGGGGTCTTGGCTTAAGATCACCCGCATCACTCAGCCTTGCTACCTTTTTAGCCTCAGAATCCAGCTCCGGTTTAATTATTTTATCACTTAACAATAACCCCACAGACCCCCACCTTCCCCACGCCCTAGCAATCTGGAAAGAGAATTCCTTCTCAGCTCCAAACCCCACATCACGAAAGCAACATGACTGGGATCTTCCCTTAATACGCCACTCCGTTGAATATCTAATATCCAGTGCTGCTTCTAAGGGATCCCCATCAATCCTTTCACATTTATTATCTCCCATTACAGTTGATCATCTCTCTCTCCCACAACTGCAAGTTCCACAACTTTTGCCTTCCCTATCGGGCTATGAATGGTTAGAAGCTTTGCCCAGCTCAAACTTAGGACTTCTCTTAACAAACGAAAAATTACGCATAGCAATAGGTCACCGTCTTGGTTGTGCACCATTCTCCGTGCTCTACGCTCAGCTCAAATTCCAGCAACCCTCGAACCCTGTGGCCTCTCAACCGAAAATAATATACGGCCAGATAGGCTGACATTAATACCATGGAGTATTGGAATTCCATTAGCATGGGGCTATACTTGCATCGATCGATTTGCTCCCTCCTTTAATAACACTCATTCATACGAGCTGAAAATCTAAAATTAATAAATACACTTCCCTAACCAATTGCAATCTCATACCAATCGTATCCGACACAACCGGTTTTTTTGGCAATCATGCCCTAACCTTCTTCAAATCCCTTGGATATCCGCGCCATCACTAGTGACCCACAGGAAGGCTTCTATCTCAGACAGCGCATATCTATTGATATATACAGATCTAACTGCA